CTCTCTCTCTCTCTCTCTCTCTCTCTCTCTCTCTCTCTCTCTCTCTCCCTCTGTCACAGCCTTGGGATGTGCAGGTTTCTGTTCCTTCCTGAATTTAGCTTATTTGTAATATCAACCTCTAGTGGTCCTTCATGGTCCATATGGCTACTCTGCCTTTTTGTTTGTCCTTGGTTACTTGTGATTTGCCTCATTCCAAGGATGAGAGTCAGAAAGACCTGGCTTGTTGGTACAAATGCAGAGCCAGTCATTGTGGTCACTGGACCCCTCCTTAGTCCATCTGTGATGTGGAACCCGAAGGGTGCAGAGCAGGGCAGCCTTAGTTGCCAAGCAGCGGGACCTACAGGTGGACCCGTGGCTCTGTGAAGGGGAGGGGCAAGCAGCATATTGATGGCGGAGAACAAGTCAGAAAACATGCGGCAATGGCAGGTTTGGTTCAGAATTCGATGTTTGAAGACAGAACTCTTGAGCTTTCATGAACATCCAATTCCCAGGATGCCCTGCAAGGCAATGCAAAGCAGGTGTGATCACTACTGCCTACTATGCAGGGAAGCTGGGCTTGCAGAGCAGAGGGTCAATTTGAGTCTGGATTGGAATACGGGTTTTTATTCCTCAACCTTGTTTTCAATATAAGACATAAAGGTGGTCTTTGGAGGCTCCAATTCCAAGACAATGTTTTCTGTATCATAAAAAGAAAAACATTGGTGTATCATAGAGGAATCTTATAACCTTATTTGTAACAGAAAGAATCATACAGAGCTGATTAAATAGCTCGTGTTGCAGTCGTACCAAAGCTGCTAAAAAAAAGCCCCGTGCCCCAGTACAGGCCTGCCATCTTGGCAGTTTGGAGGATGTAGCAGGACCACTGATAATTCAGGACCACATAATAAGAAAAGCTACATAATAAGATACTGTTTCAAGCATAACAAAATAAAACAAAGCAGTGTTCTAAAGAATGGCATGTAAGAAAAGAAGATAGCTGCATTCAAACAAATAGCTTGTCCTCAAAGAAGGATGATTCATAAAAACAAAAACAGCTACCTATATGCAGTGAAATATGAAAATGCATTGAGTTTGCCACACATGTCTAGAACATGTCTGAAAACAAACCCAGAGCAACTGCTTCATGATGGCTCTGGGGTGAAAGAGCTGAGAGACCAGACTTGGGGACAGTAGGAGGACTTACTTTCTTGTTAACTATGCCATTTGTATTCTGACTTTTAAAACATGTGCATGTATTATATTTTAATTAAAATTTCATAGTGTGCTCAGAGGTGAGATATCTGCTTGGTGCAGGTGAGGAGGTTAGGATGCATGACCTGAAGGACAGGCCGCCATCTTCGAAGCATACTGTCCTGTGGGACCTGCATATCATTCAAGGTCTGTTCTTCAGTCAGAGATGACATCTCCCTGTTGAAGGAGCACCCCAAGGCCCCACTCTCCTCTTTGCCTCAGCTATGGGCTCAGTGACTTTGAGGTACCTAGCTCTGCCATGCTGGAGAGGTTTAGAGGGTTATAATGGTAACCATAGTAATAGCTTGCGGTTAGTGGGCACTAAACTAAATGCTGGAGATTTCTCATGGT